GTAATTTATGGGATTAAATGGCACTTTTTTAATTTAAAATTTGGATTTTTGAGGTTGAAAAGAATGATTCTCGTAACAATGAAAAATAGAATAATTTTTCACTGTTATGATGTGGAAATAGATTTTCATTTTTGTGTAATTGATTTTCTGATATTAAAAAAATTAATATTTTGCTGTTGGAAATTGATTAACTATTTAGAGTAATCGATTTCTTGAGTTAATTGCTGAAAAATAATTTTTGTTGTATGTGGTTGAAATCAATTTTCATTCTGGAGTAATCGATTTCCAGAACGAAATGTTGAAAAATTGTGAAACTTTGAAAATTTATAAATTTTGACTCAATTGTCCGTTTGATGTGCCGTTTTGATTGATAGGAAGCTAAAATTATTTTCTATTTCATGAAAATAAGTTGAAGTACAATAGATGATTATTTAACAGCAACGGATACTTATCTGTGTGCATTTTCGGGTAATATTGCAATAGCAAAAGTTGTGCGTTAGTATGTAAATGATTGTATGAATGTATATCGTTGTTTTGCATAGATGTTGCATGATGATGATGTTGTTTGTTGGCCTATAATTGTGAGAGGTGAGGGCTTATGCTCTGTTTTTTAGTACCACATACATTGAGTCTATGAGTTGGTCACATTGCATTATACTATTAATTAACTTGATGATTTTGATGTGGAAGAAGTATGAGTTGCATTAGGATGGTTATTATGTGTTGGTTGTATATTGAATTGTATGTTGATTCACCTTGTGGTTACAATGAATGAAGTAAAGGTGTGAGGTGAATAAGTATGACTATATATACTTGAATTGCTATCTACTCATTATTATGCTTTCTTTTATATTGTTACGATATCTCACCCCTTTCATTTGAATATTGCCTTTATATTAGTAATGTGTAGATGATTCAAAGTAGGTCGAGGTTGAGGTTAGCTGAGGAGTTGTCTCATTTTACGTAGATTGAGTCGGTGTCAGCTCTGATACGTTACACTTAGAGAATTGCGCTTGTTTTGTTTATGTTGGGAGTAGACTATTGTGGAACTCCATTTGTTGGATTTAAGTATTGTTTTTTTATGTTGAATTTTTGATGAATGATGTTTATCACTCATGTTGAAGAGTTGAAATAATTATTATTGATCTTTTCCGCTGCGAATAAATATAATGAAGTTTAAGACTAATGAATATGTGATTTTGTATTGCGTGTCTTATTTAATGAGCATGTATGATGGATGAAGGTGACATCCTAATTGAATAATTTTTTTTAGTTTTTCTATGATTTATTTAATTAATTACCGGGAAAAATTGAGGTGTTACAAAATATACTATCCTTTATTTTTATAAATTCTATGTATCGCACAAAGCACAAAAAAAGTTAGGATATATTGCTCCATTGAAGTATTGAAACTTTCAAATAAAGGAAGAAATGTCTTAAAACTCCAAGTCAGTTTTTAAGTGCATGTTGTCGTAGAAGATTGCGACCATGGTCAAAAGTTGACTACTATCTAATTTCTAAACTAATTAGTGCGAGCTTTATTTTTCTAATTTTGGCTTAAATATCCTGAACCAATTATTTAGAGGGAAGGCTAAAGTTAATTCCATAGACGTATGTAGGGATGTCAATGGGGCAGAGAATGTTCAGAGGATGCTTCCCCTCTCCCTGTTCCTTGACTCTAAATTTATTCCCCTTCCCCGTCCCTAATCTCTGCCACGGAGATTCTTAGATATTGAATCTTAAGAAAAATTTTATACTTTTCTATCAAAACTATGACACTATTATTTTGTTATTTTTTCCTTTATAAAAAAACAAATATATTTTGCATCTTTTGTTTTTTGAAATGAAAATACATCTTGCAGAAAAAAAGTAAAGGCACTTGTTTTTGCTAATATTTTTCTGTAAAAAAAATAAATAAATATTAATAGAACTTGTTTCTACCAAACTTCCTCTAATTTACTACCACATTATCGCTGTCTTCTAGCGCAAGTAGTTGATTATGTGTGAGTGTGGCGAATTCATAACTACTAATTTATTAATTAAATGAAAAACATGTTATTAATGAAAGTAAATTGAAATTAAAGAGTAATCATCATAAGCACAATGAATAAAGGAGAGTGGATATTGTGATGATGATGAGATAATAGGAGATGATGAATGAGGGAGATAAAGATAAATGGGAAAAGAAAAGGATACGGTTTACATTATATGTATTGGATGCACTTTTCTTGGGTTGGATACTTGGATAGTGAAAAAATACATTATTCAATAAAACATAGAAATAAAATGATCCACTAATAACCCTTCATTTTCTAATACATTAATTTTTTACGTAAAATTATATAATTATATATTATATAATATATAAAATATAAACGTTATAAAATATAGTCGGAGTCGGGAATCCACGAGGCGAAGGATACTTTCAAAATCCCCGACACAAAGTGTCATCGGGGGAACTTTTCCCTCCATCTCCATCTCCACAGGGGAGAAAATCCCCAACCTTGATGCTCTTAACAGATACTCTCCACAGAGATCCCCATAAATATATGAAAATTGACATCCTTAGACGTATCTAATATCCAAAGGAAAGATATTGAATCTATTGATGATTACGCCCTATGTTTAGAGAAATTAAGACTAGATATATGAAACCCATTTAAGAATATATGTTGGTTCAATTCAATGTCTTAAAGTGTTTAAGATCTTTATTGAAATTCAACCATCTAAACTTTGATTTTAGTTCTTTCATATTAAAACTATTTTGGCATTTCAAATATGTTGTGCATACTTTCAATGAATGATTGATTTACTCTAGTGATTAATAGGCTTGTATCAAAATTGTTCAAGGGCCATGGATTGAGTCTTGAGTTTGTTTCTTTTTACCTTAGTAATTCTTATCCATTTCTCATGTAAACCAATCGATTTATCTTTTACTAAATAAATTGTTCATGTTTCGTGAAAATCAATTTTTTCCTTTGGACCAATCGATTGGTGTCAACATCTTCTGCTTATATCTCAATTTCAATTTCACCATTTACCAAGGTTGGAGGAACATACTCTATTCACTACGCCAAAAATGATTTTTTGTATCACCTAATTTAATAGCACTTTTAAAAAAAATGCTATTAAAATGGAAAAAACACATTTATAATAGCACTTTTTAATCGGGCGCTATTATATAATACAGACTATGTAATTTTGATAGCACTTTGTACCAAAACGCTATTATTAAACTTCTTTAAGATAGCATTTTGTATAAAACGCTATTATTTGACTACCTATATAATAGCACTTATTAAAAAGCGCTATGTTATATATAATAATGAATTAATTAATTAATTGATAAAAAAAAAAACAAAACACATTTTCCCCCGCACCAAAACCCCAATATCTAAACCCAAACCCATTGCGAAGGAGTAGCACCGTGGCATCACCAACGATCACCAACTTCACTCACTCGCGATAATGGCAATGGACGATTCACATTCATCTCTGTTCAACCTAGGTATTCTCGACACTCTCACCCAAGACGAACTTCACGAAATCCTCGACAGCTACGACGCCTTCTGCAACGCCACACAATCTCTTCTCGGCGGTGCCGGCGACCTCTCATACGGTGCTCAATTTGTTTCCCATGTTCACACCCTATTCGTGATTTTGAGTAGCTGTAATGAGGGTTTGTGAGGTTAAGTTGCAGTTGTGAGTTTGTGGTTAAACTGTTTGATGAAATGCCTAACTGAGTTTTTCATTTCAAAAAACAGATGGAGTTGACTTTAACCGAACAAGATGCCGCTCATTGGGTTTACAGAGGTGAAGGTGCTGCTAATATTGTTGTCTCATACACTGGTTCTTCTCCTTCTTACGTATGTTTATTCTTGTAACTCAATTTTGCTTAATTTAATGTTTATAGTTTAAGGCCAATTTGTATTGTGTTTAGAATTTATTTGAGTTTTTCTTATGACATTAAGCTCTTGTGTCTGTGTTTCCTATTTGGATATCAATGCCTTCTCCCTCATCATAGCCTTCAACTGATCTCTCATGTTCAATTTCCTGATACAACTCTTTTTCCAAGTCCTTGTCTAAATTCCCTGTGCCTAAAACCTTCTGACTTTCTGAGTAGTAAATTGGACAAACCCCACACTCTTTGATTTTTAAAAGGTCACCAAGTTCTCTGCCACTAGTTGTATAAGTTGTAATATAGAATTTAAAAGAAACCTTTCTTTCATTCCTTCTGAGTATGGTGTCACAAAGGAATGGATCATACCATACAAAAATATGATCCATTTCCAAATCTGTAACCAGTTTAGGCTTCCACTTAGACTTATTTCCCACTTCCGTCCTGAAAAATGACATTTTCGTGCAGGAAGTGAATGAGATTTGGGCTGGTCTGGGTTACTATCGGAGAGCTCTTTTTCTTTTAGAGGTGATCTCTCACTACTACATTGTTTTTCCCTTTACTACACCTTACCAGTCTCCCTTATAATAGATCGTGGACAGTTTGAATTTTTAATATTAATCTTTACTCTTTAGGCCTGTTTAGATTGACTTATTTGAGCTTATCTATTGACGCTGACACTAGTGAGAGTGTGCGCTTTATGGAAACAATTTATGACATGCCTATAAGCTTTTTGGGATAGTTTATGAAAACAATTTACATTTGTTAGGGCGCAAAGAAAATAGTTGCAGAAGGAGGCAGTATTCCTAAAACGGCTTCTTTGTTAAGAAAGATTCCTGGAATTGGAGACTATACATCTGGAGCGATTGCCTCTATAGCATTCAAAGAGGTTTGTAGCTTCTGTAATTCTTGTTACTGAAAAGTAACTATCAGCTATTTCTTATGATCTAAATTATCAGGCGGTACCTGTGGTTGATGGAAATGTGATAAGGGTCATTGCCAGACTAAGGGCTGTTTCTAAAAATCCGAAAGACTCGGCAATCATTAAGAGATTTTGGTGAGTGTTTGTAAACTTCTGGAACAAGTTTTCCTAGGGTAAAACATGCCCACAAAGTCAAGGAAGGTTGACTCAGTTGGCAAAGAGTTGACTCTCATACCTAGAGGTCGTGAGTTCAACTTCTATTGTCGATGTGAGGACATCTTTGGTTTGGTCGGTAATCTATATTTTTGAAAGCACTCTTTGAGTCTTGTATGTCCTGATCCTAGTGAGATCCAGAGCCCAACTCACCTGATCTTCATTCTAGATATTAGATATTGATTTAGACTTTGAAAAGTAATAATCCATGGACATAAAATCATACATATATTCTTCCAAATCTTTCTTTTTAATCATTAAAGTGATTGTAATAGTCCTTTTACAACCATCTCAACGGATTATTAATCATACTATTTTGCAGGTTTAGTGTACACTTACTCGATAGGGATGAAGCAACATCTATATATAAACGAACCGGATCTTGTTAAAGAAATGAACCAATGTATCACTTTGAGTTTGGGTAAGCCTTCTTATATTACTAACAAACTTTCACCAATGCTTGGTAATGGCATTTTGAGAGCCAATGGTCAGAGTTGGGCACAACAGAGAAAACTTGTTGCAGCTGAGTTTTTCATGGACAAAGTTAAGGTATCTATAAAACCTTGTTCAACCTAATTTCTCTTTCTTTCATTAATTAGCACTAGTCTAGATTACGAATCTCAGTTCAGTTTGATAGTACGGAGAGTTATAATCGAGCTGGATAGCAATAACTTGAATCAATTTATCTGCAATTAGCACCACTCGATAAAAGAAGCTATAAAGTCTATCATGTTCTATGATCATAAAATGGAAAGGGATGTCCCTCCACCACTACCTGTTTGCTTCGGGTTTGAGGAATCATTTTTCCTGGCTAAATCTCTAGATACAATATCTTTGCATAATTGAAAGGTAACATGGTAGGGACAGTGAATATGTGGAATTTATGCATTGCTTTTGTGGCAGGATATGGTGGGGCTTATGATAGAGTCGGCACAGCCATTACTTCTAAAATGGGAACAATTTTTTGAGGAGCAAGGTGGTGCCACTGCTGAAGTTAAAGTTGATGCTGATTTGAGAAGCTTTTCAGCTGATGTTATTTCAAGAGTTTGTTTTGGACATTCTTATTCTAAGGGAAAAGAAGTTTTCTTAAAGCTTAGAAGCATCCAAAAGATCATGTCAAACCATGGCTTCCTTTTTGGACAGAGCGGTTTCTTGTATGCACCCCTTTGAACCCAAGCTGTTCCTCGTGTCCAGCATCCGAATTTTGTCATGCGCTATCAATCGCTAAACGTGACAGTACAGCAGCGGTTACAGATTATCCGATTAAGGGTGTGAAGGTTAAACAAAGATCCGATTTTTTAGCTGTATGTGTTGTTGAATTACTTGGAGATGAAAAACAATCTAGCAGCAAATTTGTTCTCGTAAAACTGGTTACATGAGACTTTTAAATTGGGTACAGATTTTGGAAAAGGAGAAGAAGAAAAGTTGAGAACGTCAATAGTTAAGGAGGCGTATGTGGTGGATCGTTGTTTGAACTGACTTGGAATTTTGTGTCCTGGCAGACATACCTCGGCGCTGTTATAATTGTAGCTGTGGGTTTGGAATCTGTACTTTCTCACTAATACATTGTGAAAGGCAGCACTTTTCATTGTTAACACGGCATCTTCCGTCATGCAGGCAAGGGAGGGTCCATCCAGTTTCATCTTAATGCTATTCGTTATCGAAATGTATTTGTTCTGTCCAATCATGTTTACTGAAAAAGTCTTCAAAGTGGATACAGTCGTTAACGACAAGCAGTTGCCAGCCTGAAACTCTTTGATGCTTAAAGGCAGTTATGGCAGACATTGAAGCTTACTGCAATTGTCTAAAGACTGAACTTCTAGCTCTAAGAGGTCTTTGATGCTAGCAGGCAACTCCTTCACATTGCTTCCATCTAGTCTTAACTCTTGCAATGATGATAAAGAACTAATGTTTGCAGGGAGTTCAAACAAGTTACTACAGTCTTTCAAGTGTAGTAATCTTAGTGAGCTCAGACCATCAAATAGGGCTTTTAACTTTGATTTGGTTACTACACTGCACTTAGAAACCCGAAGTTCAGTAAGTGCCAAGTAAGACAATTCAATCGGTAGACTTGTTAGATTTAAACCTTCTAGATTTAACGAATAAAGCTTGGTCATACCACCAATTGATGGATGCAATATTTCGATTCCTGTATTGCTCAAATCCAACCTTCTTAGTGCATCCGAAGATAATGAAAATTCCTTCAGACCATAGCAATCTTTGACACTGAAGTTTGCTAGAGATTTTAAATGCTTCTCACCCATAAGACTTGGCACTTTTTTGCACCCATCCAGTAGCAAAGTAACAAGTGTGTCCTTAGAAAAAGCAGAAGCCTGAACTTCAAGTAATTCTTCACAACCAGAAAGGCTCAACTGTTTGAGTTCAACTGTTTGAGATCATACCACACATACCTATGTCAGAAATCATCAATAGTATCTGTAAATGTGTGAGAAATTAGTATTTAAACTTTTGAAATTACATACACAGCTTGAATCACGTTGCATCTGATAGCAACCCACATAATGTGAATGAAGCACACGAGTGTTTAGTAGGCCAAAACATACCTCACAGCCCAAGAGTGTGGAAGGTGTATTCTAACTAAGAGCTGAAAAAGTGTCATGGAAAGATCCTAAGAGGAGCAAGATGGCAGTAAGATATTTGACTGCATTTTCTCCCTGATTAGGTTAAAATGGCTGTACAATACATGCGGCGGGTTATTGAGAAGAAGGCAAAGTTTGATATCATGAAACTGAACTGTGTTCTGGTAAGTATTAATTGTTTGTCTTTTTTATAGTAAAAAAATTATGAATGCAATTATGTAAACTTTCATTGATCATGTTTTGTTAAGCATTATTTTCTGGTTAAACGAATTTCTTTTAGAGACATCATTTCTTTTCGACTCCATTTTTATCGTAAATTAATGCTTTTAAAGCCTACAGGTTGCACCGAAGACATTCATTCCTGTTTTATTTGGACATGCAAGTGATGACAAATTCATTCAGCCACACCACTCCGATCTCATCTCTGAATCCTACGCGGTATTAATTTTACAATTATAAGCAGTTTGCATTTTCTCTCTCTTTGATAGCCAAAATATCTAACTTCTGTTTCTGAATTCGTAGGGTGATAAAAATATTATAAAATTTGATGGCGACCACAACTCTTCTCGGCCACAATTCTTTTATGATTCAGTTTCCATTTTCTTCTACAATGTCCTCCGTCCTCCTCAAGTTTCTATTGCTGAAAAGCTCGAGAAATATTATGATTTGGGGGATTTGAAACTCGGTTCCGGTGTGGATGAGGTATTTAGCATTTCTACTCCGTTGTCTTGAAAAATATAAAAGACACTACAGAAACTAATTTGCTCTTTTTCTTTTTCTTTCCATGCTAGAGCGTATTATATGAGATTCTCTCTAGTCTACGGTCTGCACCTACTGATGCTGCAAGTTCATCTTCTGCATTTCCAACAATATCTGAAACAAATTCAGTTACCGAACTTCTTTCGGAAGCAGCTCCACTGGCTGATGCAGTAGGTTGCCTTATCCCTCTGTCTCCATTATTTTCTTCATAAAACTTTGTTCTGTTTAGTTTATCCATTGCTTGTACTGCAGGAGCCTTTGTTTGAAGAAGATACGAGAGACAAAAATGATGAAGCCGTAAATGTGCAGGTCATCTTTATATAACCGTCTCTGAAATTAATAAATGGTCCGGGAATTATCCTTTACTTAACTTGAACAAAATACTATGAATGACTTTATAGGGTAAGCTAAATGGCCAGATTGAAGATTGTTGCTCATATACAAGCTCGACTAGAGAAAGTTGGGGAAGATGTTCTTCTTTAGGAGGCAGTGATCAAGAATCTTTTGCAGATTTAAGTGCTGATGATAAACACTCTCAGGTTTCTCTCTAGCAGCATAACTAAACTTTGTTTTTTCTTCAAAGCTATTTGTAGCAAAGTTATTGACCCTGAGAAGTTTCACATATGACTGCAAAGTTTCAGGTAATACTTTTATCACTTGGATATGGATCCTTAAAGTTTTGCATGATTATAGTATTAGTGATAGTGTTGTGGGATGCATTTTTTATAATAAATGCAGAAAGTTAGTGATGAGAATCGAGAAAGAGCGTTAAATCCTCAACATCCCTATAGAAAGTCACGTTTAGGGTGTGCTCGTCTTGAAGCTGATATGGTAAGTATGTGTATAAATGTACTATACAATATTATAAAAAAATTTAATTGCTATGTTAATTTGTAAAAATGTATATACAGGTAGAAGAGTCAGAAGTTGGTGAGATAAACCGTAGTCAAGTGTGGAAGGCTGCCCGCGTCAATAAGAGCGGGGTGATTGATAATGAGAATGTTCAAAGAGTTGTGGATCAATGTGTAAGTCGAATTTTAGATGTGACACTATAGATGTTATTTCCAAAATGCTCACATTATAGATGTGACACTTTTTCTATACTCATCATTGTTACCGAATTTGTATTTTGTTAGTTAGTTTGAAGTCATTAAACTCGATTTTCCTTAATTAATTGAGTCTTTGTGTCTTATTTTGATAGAATAGCCATTAATTGCAACTTGTATCTAACTATTGGTTATTTCTTTTATACTTATCAATGTCAGGAGAAGTTAACAGAAGCTCTATCTGAAGAAGAGAGACAAGACCTTGGTCCCACAAACATATTATTTGAGGCTCTTAATCTCCCAAACTACTCTGGACGTGTTAGGACTTATGGTTTTGGGGTATGTTCTAGGGACATATTACCACGCCAAAATCGCCCCACACAAATGGATTTTGAAAAATTGTATGGCTTTTGTAATTCACTCAAAAGTAGATTGGAGGTGCTAGAGAGAGAAAAGATTGAGAGAGATAAGTTGGATAGAGAGAAGCTAGAGAGGCAACAAACTGAAGAAGTGGAAGAAAGGCAACAACCTAAACAAGTGTCAGAGAGGTTGCAACAACCTGAAAAAGTGGCACAGAGGCAACACCTTGAACAAGTGGTAGAAAGGAAACAACCAGAAAAAGTAGCTGAGAGTCGACTACCTAGTGATAAAGGTTTTTTGGTGTTTTGTTTAGAGAATTTGATTGTATGTTTTTGGATTTGGATTGAAGTACTCATAGATGGGCATCTACAAATTTGGCTATGCAAACGCCCTCTTAATATTCTATATGTTATGATATTTGGAAACAATAGGATTTGATAATTTAAAATGTTATTTGGTATTTGATGGATCATAATATATATGCAATGAGTAACTTAAAGCGTTATTTGTGTTGAATTGAATATAGTTATTTTATATTTACACAAAAAAAAATGATTGTGTAAGAAAAAATATTGTACTGTACTTATTAAAAATATTGTACCAAATATGTACCATTTATTAGCACTTTATTTGAAAGCGCTATCAAACATATGTTATATATTAGCGCTTTTTGTTTAGAGTGCTATAAAAAAACAAACAAAAAACATGCAAAATACTGACTTTAATAGCACTTTAATTAAAACGCTATTATAAATTGGTACTTTAATAGCGCTTTTAAAGTGCTATTAAATAAGAAATATTTACAATAGTGGCGCGGTTAATAGCACTTTTAAGCGCTATCAAAAACAAAAAAAAGCGCTATTAAATAGCTTATTTGGCGTAGTGATTGTCATCCATCCCTTTAGCCAAATTTCTATTTTATTTTATCACATCAACCCACAACTTCTTTCCCTCTACCTATTTTTCCTATACTTCCTCTATCTTTTTGGGGCTTAGGGTTTCCACTATTTGTTGCTCAAATTCCACTTCGACGTAATAAATTACTTCAGGTTCATCTGATATCTTCTTAGACGAATCGAATCGTATGGTATTGTCCTCTTCATCTACAATGATTTTACAATTTAGTGAAGATGATTGTGCCATTTTCTTGGGGAGCTTTCGTCCTCTCGACATCGCCGGATCTCTCAAAATTTAAAATTTTGTGAGGTTATTATGGTGATGTGTTATATTTTTCATATTCAATTATATTATTATTTTTTAAGATATATGTAGATTTAGATATATAAAAATATTCATTCAGATCAATTATTCATTGAAAATTTATTTATTTATTATATAAATTACATATTATTAATTATAAATTTCATCCCACTCTATAAAAAATTCAAAAATGGACAATGTTTTC